ATTACTTAGTGCGCGTCGCAAATTTTTAAGCTTGCTGTAAAGAATGTAGTTTATTTTGAGTTCAACAGCTTGAAAAGTATCATAAAAACTGAAACAAATTTTTGCCTGAACATTTAGCAGTCCTCTAGAATTTCGCTCTAAAGTAAGCTAAAAACCTAAGGATAAGTTAAACCTGGGCTGCACTTCCGCAACAGATGCTACTGGGTACTGCCACAGCGATAAAACAATCTGCAGCAAAATTTTCAGAAAAGTTGCATCGCCTTACTGGTTAAAAGTATGGGAGAATTCATTAGGAAGCGCGCTTTCCAGTACTGCGCCTCCGAAATCTCCTCGAATTCCAGGTTTTCTAGCATCTCCAATTTCCTTGCTTCAGTCGTCCCCAAATCTTCACAAAGCATCTGCAAAGTCCAATTTTACAGAAACAAATTCAACAACAGGATACACAAGCATTTCAAAAACAAGAGCTATCCCAGCAATGGGCTGCACACCTTTTGCTCACTTCCCCCTTATTACGTACGTGCGCCAAACATTTTAATTATTCCAACATTCTAAAAAGTGAAGAAATTTGAAAGAGTAAAAAGCTACCGAAAGCTGAACGTCTCTTAGCAACCGAGTACTGTTCGTCTGATGATTTGCCAATTCCTGTCGTAGTTCTCTTAAGGACTGCTCATCATGGATACCAAATAAAGCTTCACATTTGGCAGCAATACACTTCTCAGCTAAAGTTCCCGTGAACAGAGGATGCACGTTCGGGATAGCGACCTTCAACAACGTCAGTGCCTGCTCGTAGCGTTCATGGCAAAGCAACACAGGTACGGCTAAGCCAATATATGGCCTGAAAATCATAGTTCTTTAATAAAAAATTTTTAAAAAAATTGTATCAGTGGACCTTTTAGCTTAACAACGGACCGGAAGGTGCTACCATTCGGGGCAATATGAGTGCCTTCACCACTCAGTGAGAATGAAGAAGGAAAGCTCACAATTAAAACTGCCGAAACTCTACTTACTATTCGCCGTACTCAC